TGGGTCTCTGAGTTCAGGGCCAGGAAGGGCTCTAAAGAGAGACCCTGTCTAAATAAAAAATAAAAAGACTTGTCTGCTTAAAGCCCAATATCTATCTCTCTCTCTCTCTCTCTCTCTCTCTCTCTCTCTCTCTCTCTCTCTCTCTTGTTTTGTTGTTGTTGTTGTTGTTGTTTTTCGAGACAAGGTTTCTCTGCATAGCTCGGGCTGTACTGGGAACTCACTCTGTAGACCAGGCTGGCCTTGAACTCAGAAATCTGCCTGTCTCTGCCTCCCAAATGCTGAGATTAAAGGTGTGGGCCACCACTGCCCGGCTTAAAGCCCAATCTTGTGAAGACATTTTCTCCAATGGGGTTTCCTTCTCTTAGAATCAGATGTGGGTTCTGGGATCTAAATTCTCTTAGCCGACTATAGCTTGTCCCAAGTTGACAGAAAGCCAACAGCCAGCACCATGTCAGACAGACAGCTCGCAACCGTCTACGATGCCAGCTCTAGGGGGGATTAGATGCCTCTGACCTTGTCAGTACAGGCAATCACATGCATATATTCAGGTAAAGACACATACATACACATAATTAAAATAATACAAATATTTTTAAAATAATTAAAAATAAGATTGAGGTCACTAGAGCAATGCCTTGGGGTCTAAGGGCACTTCCTGCTCTTGAGGCATGTTACAGGAGTCTGGAGTAAGGAGAGGTCATCAAGGAGTACCACCCAGTTCAGTCCATAGGCCGGACAAAGAATTGGATGTCCTGGGACAAAGACCCATATGGAGACATGGAAAGCACCAGGCTTGAGAAATGGGATGCCCTCAGAAGCTGGGAAACTGAGACTAACAGAGAAAAGGAAGGCTGGGGACTGGGGGGACTGGAAGTGGCTAGCTTCCTCCAAAGGGCTTTGGGAGTGGGGGGGAGGGGAGAACTAACCCCAGCAGCAAAAAGCAGCCAATCTTTTGTTTTGTCTGACATTCTTTTATTCTTTGTTTGTTTGTTTGTTTGTTTGTTTTTCGAGACAGGGTTTCTCTGTGTAGCCCTGGCTGTCCTGGAACTCACTCTGTAGACCAGGCTGGCCTCGAACTCAGAAATCCTCTGCCTCCCAAGTGCTGGGATTAAAGGCATGTGCCACCACTGCCCAGCCATTCTTTTATTCTATATGCAAAGTTTTTAAACACACAGTAACTATCCTATCCCATAATCAGAACAAGGCTTTCTACCAGAAGTCTTCCCCCACCCCTACCCCCACGCCACAAACAGATTTAGGTAAAGCTATGTGTAGCACTCCACGGGCTATGAAAACTTAAGGCTTCCGTGTTGATTCCATTCTGAGGCTACACACAAACAATTCAAAATATTGCATTAAAGTGACCAGCGAGCAGGAAGGCTGGGGCCGTCAGACGTGTGTGTTACTCACGTCCGAGCTATAATGAGAATGGCGGGTGTTCCTGTAGGTCTCTGATGCTCCGTGAGGGCAGCTGGTCATTCAGGTGACCAATAACGAGGAGACCGCTGCTGTAACCAGCTGGAGCTTCACCAAGGACCTTACGCCCTCGTCGCTCTCTTCTCGGACCCCTGTTTCAGCGTGTAATCAGCCAGGGAGGTGTCTTCCGCTGGTTACAGAGATCAGGAGGCTGGAAGGCAGAGCTCCTTTGGCAGTGTCTGTGTTTCAATGACCAAATCTTCCTCCAGTCTCTTTATTCTCACCCACGTGGAGGTTAAGGAGCTGGAGGCGATTGCAGAAAGGGCGAACAAAAGTTTGAAGCCTAGCACCAAAGAGCTTCCTCTTGTCATCTCCTTGAGTCTGCAATCTCATGACATCGATGCTAGTCCAAAGCAGACCCCTCCCTTCCCCCCAAAATGGCAGTACCACTGTCAATGGCGTAAATGACAGGTTACAGCTCAGCCTGGACTCTGACCAGGAAACAGGATTACTAGTGGTTTAAAACATTAGCCTTAACTCTCCAGTTTCCATAAACTTGTGAAGCAGTTTTCTCTTCGTCTGGAAGAGCCACTGCTTCCCTTATCTGCCATACCCCCAGTAATGCAGTATTAGTTCCCTATCAATACTTACCTGTACCACTTATCACGAGCTCCCAGGCTCCTCACCCACAAAACAACCCAGACCCTCCTACCCCCCACTACTCTAACTTACAGGCTGTCCCACTCTACATGCTTCCTGCCACTGCAAACATACTCCCTTAAAACACACACACACACACACACACACACACACACACGCGCGCGCGCGCGCGCGCCTCACACAGAGGCTGTGAATAGCATGGGTGGGAACAAACGGGAAACAGGAAATACTGAGCAGTTGTACTGAAATTATCCGCTAGAGAAAGTTTCAAAGTCACTTGAGAGAATATTGAGTTCTCTAACCGACTAGCCAAGAGCAGGCTTCTGCCTGGGAAGACTCTTGGGCCATAGACAACGGGAAGATGTTTTGTTTTGTTTGTTTTGTTTGTTTGGTTTTGGTTTTTCGAGACAGGGTTTCTCTGTGTACCCTTGCCTGTCCTGGAACTCACTCAGTAGACCAGGCTAGCCTCAAACTCAGAAATCCTCCTGCCTCTGCCTCCCAAGTGCTGGGATGAAAGGCGTGCGCCACCACTGCCCTGCTGTTTTTGTTGTTGTTGTTGTTTTAAGTCAAAGGTCTGTAGATACATCACACCTGCTGCAGAGGTCTTAAGTAACCTTTGCCACTGTGCACATCATAGGAGGCCCCACCTCCAGACTGTTCTTATGTATCAGGACCCTTTCTCAGCAGGGAAGGAGGGTCCTTTTGGTGTTGGAAAACACTTTATCAAGAGAAATGGGAAGCTGTTTGCTTATTGGCAAATGTACTTCCTAAGCGAGGAGGTGTGGGGTCAGGACAACCTGACGGCTATCTCAGTATCTCTGATGGTTTCCCCATGTGGAGAAGGGTAAACACGCCCAAAACTCAACCATGCTGCAGCTCTGTCTGGTGAAGCCAGTAGGATCGCACAGCCCCCTCCCTATACGTGTGTAGCTAGGAGATGACTTGGGAAGAAAGATGGAGGACAGGCCTGGGCATTGTCTTCTTATCTCTCTTCAGATAAACCCCACTATCTGAATGTACTGCATGCCTTCTTGACTGTAGATCAGTGAACTCTGGGTGTTCTTTGTTCCGTTTACCTACCCCCCCACACACACACACATACACACCTCCAGTTGAACATGGCTTGTTGCTGGGAACGAGGGCAGGGGGTGGTGGAAGTGCATGCTGGGCTTAGTTCTCTCTCTCAGAGCAAAAGTAGTACCAATTTCTTCCCTTCACTCACCAACTTTATCAAAGGACTTGTCAGGCAGCCTCTGGATAAGCCATGCAACTAAGTGACCACAACACAAACAAACAAATAACCAAAAAACTTAAGGAGGTTTTGGATGCTGCAAAGCAGCATCATCCCTGCGCCAGGTCATGGTCCTCTTTGGTGAGCGGAGACTTCTTGACTCCCGGATTCAGAATTGGGTGGGTGTTGTGTGCAAACGAGGGAGGGAGTTAGGTTCCTTAGATGAAGGGGTCCAGAAAGATAGCAAGATCAGACTTCCAGAGCCTGGAGTCATACATACCTGAGCCTCAGGTTTTATGTATTTCGATTTTTTACAACTGGCACGCGCCCAGCTCACCTGTGCCAACCTCCTCAGAAAAATCCTTGGCGTGGAGAGAAACTCTGCAAAGTGTAGTTCTTGGATCTTATTTCAGTTTATTTTTAGTACTAAGAGCTGTCGAAGTAAAGAACACAGACACTCTCACAGTGGACATGGCTCTGTACCCTGTAAACATTTACTGCGCCTAGCAACTGCCTACCAAAGAGGCCAGCACAGAACGAGGACAGGCATTTCACCACAGAGAAGCTTGTTAGCCGCTTCTAGGCCAGGGGACCAGGGCCAGCATCACAGGGATAAGGCATGTTGACAGATCGTACCTTCAATACCACGTGATAAGAAAAACACTAATTCCAAGAAAGCCCCGAGCCCAGTCAAACCAAGAGAAAAATGTCATCAAATATCCCAACTGGGTACAGTGTCCCCTTTCCCTTATTGGCCCTGCTTAGATAGATACCCACTCTCACGTTTTGCTATCTCTCCTAGCAATGCCTTCTGGGAACAAGTAGCCACCATCTCTGGGAGTCTGCTTTTCCTTTCCTTGTCTACATAGGTCCCTCTAACTTGTGTTCAATCTGACGCAGTTTCCAGGGTTACCTAGGTTCCGGGGGTGTTGACCCCACCCTGGTTGTTTCTTAGGTTCACAGGGTAACTGACTTACATCATCAGGTTTAGAACCTCAACTCCCATATATGACCCCCCCTTTTCTTTATTCCTGTCTGTGTTCTCTATGCCAGTGCACCCTCTGGCCCTGGGTCCCCTCAGGGGCTGCCCTTGACCCCTCTCTGGCCAAAGTTTCTGCCACAAAAAAATCTCTTGAAACCCTCAGGAAGCTCCAGTCTGATGAGCCTCCTGGGTATCTACCCACTCTACCTTTTTACTTTGAGAGAGTTTCAAGGAAGGGCAAGGGTGTCCCAGAGGCAGCAGCAAGCGACCAGAGTGGTGTGGTGTGGGTGTAGGGGCAATGGGGGGGGGTCTTCCACGACTCTTCTATGCTATTTCTCTGGATAAACAGCATCTGGAAGAATCTAAAGTATGTCTGTCTGGCCTTTTACCTCCCCACTGATCTGTGCCTGGCAACACTCATGAGTCAGTGTTTACAGGTAACCCATATGGGGACACAGAGCCAAGGGAGGACTCTCAGAGGTGTCCTGGCAACCCAGGACCTCCCTTCCTCACAGGCTAGCAACTGACAGACTCCAGGGCAGGCTCCTGCGCTGTGGTCCAGGGAGGGGGACCAGTCACTCTCCCATTTACTTGTCTTGAGGCAGCATGACCCCTGACAGGGCTCTTTGCTGCACACAACCAAGGACCAAGGCAGAGTGAGGACTTCAGCCTCCTATTTCTCTGCAGGCCGCTTATCACTGATACATTGTCATGACGTCGGACTCCTCGATGGTGGATCAGATGACCCGGCTGAGGTTACGACTCTTAGAACAGGTAAAGGACAGAGCCTCTCCACTGTTGTCTCCCACCTCTGCGGACTGCCAAGAGAGGTCCTTGCTTCCAGAGCAAGCCTTTTCCCTGTATCTGGCTTCCCAAAGCACAGCTATGGATTCTTGTTTGCTTTATTGTGCTGGGCAGAACCCATTAGGTTCTAGCAGTTTCCAAAGTCAGGAGGCAGGCTGTGCCCGCCAGCAAGTGTACTTCTAGGGCACGGACCCTCAGAGTTCCTGCATCTTCAGGCTCTGGTGTTTAAAGGGATACTCCTTCTGTGGAGACTGAGCCCAACTTCCCCAGGGAAAAAGCTGCTCATGCCCCGTCTTCTCCACCTTTTCCACCATCTACAAAATTTGAAGTGATCCATGACCGGCATACCTGCCTGTGCACACAACTAAGCATAATTCCCAGGGGCAACGTCTCTGTATGCTCTGCCTGCATTGCTCTTCTTCTGACTACTGTCTATTACCGACCCTGGAGTCTCTAGTTCAGGGCCCAGTGGCCCTGGATAGACCCTGAGGATAGTCTCTGCAAAGGTTGCTACTCAGCAATCTTCCCGGAGCATCTCTCTCAGGACCTTCAGGGTAATCCTGGGAACCCATAAAAGAGCCCACTTGTGGAACCTCAGATCATCTATTTTGGTTCGCCTCACTGTGTACCCTTTGGGCCCCAGTAGGGGAAACACTTTGAGGTTCATCAGGATACTCCATGCTGTGCATCAGAATATCCTACCTGTGTCTCGGCAGAGCATCACCTCAGGGGTCTCCTTGGGGTATCATCCTCCCCTTGGGGCTTAGGAGGGAGAGTGTGCGTTATGTCTGAGACCATTACCAGACTAATCCTTAACAGAATGGGGACCCTTGCCCCCATCTATTCACTTTTCCAAGTGCTTCTTGCCTCCCGTACTTCCTTTCGGGTGCCGAGTACTCCCAGAGCGTTTGGCATATCAGCGACACAGGCAGGTGGGCAGCGCAGACCCCACTCACCAACCTGGAGCCCAGTCACCGTCCCAGCTTCTTCCTCTTAGATGCTGGAGCAGGAACGAGGGAGCATGGACAGAGCAGGTAAGAGCTGAGAGCTGGGGTTGGGGATTTAGCTCAGTGGTAGAGCGCTTGCCTAGCAAGCGCAAGGCCCTGGGTTCGGTCCTCAGCTCTGAAAAAAAAAGACAAAATAACAAAAAGAGCTGAGAGCTGCCTGCGTGGGCACATCCCAGAAGGACGGGGAACAGACAAGAAGAGGGGCCCGGCAGAGCAGGCCCTGGCTTTGCTTTCATCTGTAGAACACCACATGGGCACATGCATACAAGCATGCACGCCTGCACAAGCCCGTGCGCGTGCGCATACACACACACGCGCGCTCGTGCTGCACTCTTAGCCAACAGACCCCTAGAGGGAATGTATCTTATAGATGAGAAGATATGGCACAGAGAGGTCAGGTGACGTACCTCAGATTGTTCAGGTTGTTCAGTGCAGAAATTCTGCCTGTCAGTCACGTGACTCTGCTTGCAGGGGTGGGGCAGGGGCTCAAGCTTATCCTTCTCAGTACCTGGGACCAGAATCTAGGTTCACGGACATCTGAGTGAGGATCTGAGGCCAGAGGAACGTGTTGTGTTCTTTAGAACATAGAGCATCCAGGGCTATGGGTAACTCTGGGAACCTTGAGGGCAGCTGGCCAAACCTGGGCGCTTCAAATCTAGATTGAAAATGACACACCAGGCCACGTGACCCAGGGGACTTACACACCGTCCAATGACCACAAATGTACCAGAGGGTATCCCAAGTAAAACTTCCAGAGAAACCTGCCAGGCATCATCAAAATCCCAGCTCCAATAGGATGTCAGGGCAAGCAGATCCCTTCCAGAGCTTTCTCTGGAATGAGACACTCTTCTTCCTGTTGGTGAGTATTCCTGTCCTTCCCAGGCATTGGAGCCAGGGCTATGGAGGCCTCCTTCTGTATAGGAGTGTTACAGCATCAAGGGAGATCTGTTCTACTGACTTCCAGTGCCTTACAGGACCAAGAAAATCCACTAGGCTGACTCTAACCAAGTCTTTCCCTCTCTATCATAGCCCCTGCTCTCCATGCCCCAACCCTGGCCCCTCCTTCTTTAGGACAGATGTTTATGAGAGACCCCAGGAGCTCAAAGGCTCCAGGGAACTCTGAATCCCAGGGTGTAGGGAAGTTGGGGCACTCTGCCGGGCCCACCAGCCAGGCTTATGTACCTCATTGATGTGTGCCTTCTTTATGCAGGACAGCAGGAAACATCAGACACGGCCCTGCAGAGAGCTTTGAGGAGAAGGAAGGACCTTCTACAAAGGCTCTGGGTAGGCTTGCACCCTCTGTCAAACACGAGCCTAACTCCCCACAGGCTAATACGCTGGCCAGCGTACACCAACATGGGCAGTCTGTATTCTCGGGGTCAATTATGTTCGCAAATTGAGGATGGGTAACAGAACTGTTGAGTATTTGAGAGATGAATAGTCCCACCCCATCACTTTCTTGAGGAAATCAGACAAAGAACATCAGGTACAGGCAGTCTGTGTGCTTAGAGACTGCTTAGGTAGCTGGCAACAGAGAAGGCAATGAGTCAAGGCCCATTCCCCCAGGAAGAGCTACCTAAGCTAAACTGACCTCCAGCAATAAGTGGCCCTGCCTAGAAGCATCTATATGGGTGTTATCTCAACACTGCCATGGGACAAGAGACAAGAGGTTTGCTCTTTCTACACTGAGGAAGATGCTGAAATGGATGAAGAACCATTAGATAGTTGACTGGGAAACACTAAGAGCAACCAGAAATTCAACAAGTAATTGGTGTGTATTCAAGAGAATTTCCAAGTATTTACCAAGGAATACTATTGAACTCGGGGTCACAACCTGTGCCCAGTCTGGCCACCTGTCCACAACAAGCCAATTAAAAGTCAAGTCAACAGTAGAAAGAAGAAAAGGATGGTTTAACTGAATATGGTCACGTTGGGAAGAGAGACAGAGATCCCTAGTTCTAGGGACTCCACACTGGACATTTGGGTGCCATATTCCCTGGCAGGGGTGAGGCGTGGTAAAACCGTGCTGGGGAGGATCTGGTCACCCAATTGAGGTTCACAGGTTGATCAGCGACATCTGCTGATGGCTCTTGTCCTTTTAGGAGCAGCAGCTGATGGATGAACACTCCCCAGCCCATGCCTGGAGGACACACGGAAGAGCCTCGGTGCCAACCCCAAACCCAGAGGTGCCTCCCATAGATGTCTTCCCTGCTGCCTCCGCACCTTTGCTCCGACCCCCAGAGCCACCAAGGATCATCCAGCACCCGGTAGGGAGGACTCTTGGGTAACTTGTGGTGGGGTAGAAGTCACAATGGAAGGGCACAGTGTTGCCAGTAGGCCATCCAATCAGGGAGAGCAGAGGCATTCCTCTCCCTTCTTACCTTCCAGGGAGGTAAAGACTCTCTCTTTTCTCAGAGTCCTCAGCAGGATTCTCATGCTCTGGAGAGGTTCATCTGACAACAGACAATAGCAGCTTCAAAAAACTAGGAGAGTTTAGCATCAGTGGTCCCTGAATTCAGAGAAGCACTGTCCTTTAATACTTCACAGTGAACAGAGATGATTAAGAGCCTCACTTAGGGACAGAGTTGCAACAGCAGAGTATACCATTCTGAGAACTTTATCTGGTGTGGCCTACACACAGCATCCTGAACCACGAGCAACAGAAACCAAACAATATACGTGTTTTAAATTGTGTGTATTAGTACTGTGTGCACATCTTAGGGTTTCCATTGCTGTGAACAGAAACCATGACCAAGGCAACTCTTATAAGGACAACATTGAACTGGGGCTGGTTTATAGGTTCTGAGTTTCAGTCCATTATCATCAAGGCAGAAAGCATAGCAGGATCCAGACAGATGTGGAGCTGGAGGAGCCAGAAGTTCTACATCTTGATCCAAAGGCAGAAAGGAGACTGGCTTTCAGGTAGCTAGAAGGGTCTCTTCTGCACAGGGCAGAGCCTGAGCATAGGACCTCAGAGCCGGCCGACACAGTAACACACTTCCTCCAACAAAGCCACACCTTCTGATAATGCCGGTTCCCATGAGTCAAACTTAGTCAAACTACCACAGTGTGTGAGATGCATGTATGGGCCTCATGCACACCACAGCGCATATGTAGAAGTCAGAGAGCCATACTGTGGAGTAGCTGCCATCTTCCCACTGTTATATATGTTCTGGGGATCAGGTTGCAAGGCCTCCTGGCAAACACCTTTATTTGCTAAGCCATCAAAAATGTTCTAAAGCAGAGGAGGTAGGAGGCCCAGGTGAGGTCTTTGTTTGGGACTCAATATGAGGGAACACAGGAAATTGAGGAGGAAAGGCACAGGGGGATCTGGAAGATATCTATTCATTGGGCAGGGAAACGAGAGAGTCAGTACTTAGCAGAGGGAATGGATCCCACAGAATCCCTTCTGCTGGTGAGCTGTCTGTACCCAGGTTCCAGGTACTCCAGCCGCTGTTCCTTCCTGTTATCAGGACCATTGTATTTACTATTATTGTTATTATTGCTGTTGTTATTATTATTATTTGTACCTTGGTGCTTTGCCTGCATGTATGTCTGTGTGAGCATTTCAGATTCCCTGGAACTAGACTTACAGACCATTGTTCGCTGCCATGTGGGTTCTGAGAATTGAACCCGGGTTGTCTGGAAGAACAGCCAGTGCTCTTAACCACTAAGCCATCTCTCCAGCCCCCACTGTATTTGTTTTTAAGATCTGGTTGGTCACACTATGTAGCCCTGGCTGGCCTGGAATGCACTAAATAGACCAGGCTAACCTGAAACTCACAGAGAGCCTTTTGCCCCTTGCTTCCCAAGTACTGAGATTAGAACCATGCACCACAACACCTGGCTGGCTGGTTTCATGTTCTTTTGGTTTTTGTTTTGTTTTTGTTTTTTTGTTTTTGTTTTTTCAAAATAGGGTTTCTCTGTGTAGCCCTGGCTGTCCTGGAACTCACTCTGTAGACCAGGCTGGCCTCAAACTCAGAAATCCACCTGCCTCTGCCCCCCAAGTGCTGAGATTAAAGGTGTGAGCCACCACCGCCTGGCTTGGTTTCATGTTCTTAAATGTTTGCTGAAGAAGTAGAAGAATCATACCTTATAATACAAGAAGATCCACATCTTGATTGTCATGAAATAGTTCCTTATCGGGACACATGTTCACATCTGTTAGTGTCTGTTCTTTTTTTTTTACAAGAGCACAAATCTATTTTTATTTATTTACTCTGAATTAGTTTAAATCCAGGATGGGTACAGCATCACACGGATTCTGTGTCCAGTGGCCTTTGCAGGAAGGTTGCTTCAGAATTTGGCACGAATCATGCCACTGTTTCCATGGGCCCAAGTTACCTTCTCCCAGATCACTCTGGTTTTGTTTGGTTTGCCTCCAGGAGTCACTGTATTGTTTTTTTGCTTTGTACACATAAGCACATCTCTTGCCTAAGTAGAACTCAGTTTTATCTC